TGCTTAGTTTTGAATACATTAAGTACATGCATGTAAATGATTTAGATTTTCCAACATATATGAATCATGTAATAAAGGTGCGGTAGATAAATTCTTTACCACGAGGGTTATTTGTTTCGGAAAAATAAACTGTGTTCCTAATTGTTCCATCCATGAATTGTTGGTTAAAGAAGCACACAGTGTGGAACTAATGGGTCAACTAATGGGTCACTTTGGGGTTGCAAAGACTTTAGATATGTTAAGGGAATATTTTTATTGGCCTAAAATGAGGATTGATGCAGAACGAACTTGTGATCAATGCATAACTTGTAAATATGCTAAGTCTAAGGTTCTACCCCACGAATTGTATACTCCTTTACCCGTTCCTAGTGAACATTTGGATGATATCTCCATGGATTTTGGGATTAAAAGGGTTTGGGATTCAATATTTGTAGTGGTCGATAGATTTTCTAAGATTGCGCATTTCATTCCATGTCATAAAATCGATTATGCCACTAATATAGCTAATTTGTTCTTTAAGAAAATAATACGTTTACACAGGGTCCCTAAGAGTATAGTGTCGGATAGAGATGTTAAATTTCTTAGTCACTTTTGGCGGGTTTTGTGGGATAAGTTGGCACAAAATTGTTATTTTCTATTACATGTCACTCACAAACCTATGGGCAAATCGAAGTAGTCAATAAGACTATGATTCAATTGTTGTGCACTGTAGTTAATAAAAATTTGAAAAGTTGGGAAGAATGCTTACCTTTCGTTGAGTTTGCATACAATAGGGCTATACATCATACTACTTCATGTTTATCGTTTGAAATTGTTTATGGTTTTAATCCACTAACACCATTAGATTTAATTCATTTACCTGTGAATGAATGTAGTAGTTTAGATGGGAAAAAGAATGCCGAGATGGTGAAATCACTCCATGAGAAGGTGAGATTGCAAATTGAAAACAAAAACAAGCATTATACTTCACAAACTAACAAGGGCCGGAAGAGCGTTTCATTTGAATCTGGTGATTGGGTTTGGGTACATTTGAGAAATGAGCACTTCCTCGAGGAAAGGAGATCAAAGTTGCAGCTACGGGGAGATGAACTGTTTCAAGTTCTGGAGAAAATCAATGATAATGCATACAAGTGGATCTTCCTTGTGAGTATAATGTTTCGGCTACTTTTAATGTATCTGGTATCTCTCTCTCTCTCTCTCTCTCTCACTCTCTCTCTCTCTCTCTCTCTCTCTCTTTCTTTGATGTAGGTACAGATTCAAGGATGAATCCTTTTGAAGAGGGAATGGATGATGTGAGCACGGAGTCAAACGCGTCAAGTCAAACCTTGGAAAGGATCCGTTAATTATCAAAGGAGGTCCGATGACATGGTCGTGAGCAAAGTGGGTGAAAGAGGCGATGAGATTGCTGGCTCAAGCTACAATGGACGAAAAGCTTATCACGATAAGCAAATAAACAAGTTTCGTGTTGAGTTCGGGAGGAGAAACCAGATGGATCAACATTATATAAGCGGATGAGGAAGCTGAGGAGTGAAGCTATGCGACCACATAGCACACTTATGCATGCGGTCGCGTGCATGGATACCGAAACTATTTGGGGGCTTTTTAACTAATCTATGTGACCGCATAGTTCATTCTGCTCGCGAATTTTTCCAAATTTCGCGTAATCCCTCGATTTAATTTAAAACTCTATTATGTAATATATTTTGCTATTTTTTTGGCTTAATTCCGTTTTTAATTAGGTTTTATGGGTTCCCTATAAATATGACCCATTCTTTTCATTGTAAAACATGACATTATTTTTTAGATTTATTGAAAGATAAATTTGCTTTCGAATTCTTGTTCTTCGTTGGACAAATCACGAACTTATCAAGATTCTTCTTGTCGCGTTCAAATCAATCGGGTGATATTCTCAGATATTCAATCAAAAGTATCAACATATTGTTTGTGTATTGTTTGTTATTTTGATTCGTTATTTTCGAATCAAATCCAAAACTTTGATTACATTGGCTTTTTGGGGTTCGATTTCAATCTAATCGTAAGTTTCATAGTTTTTCGTTACGTGGGTTCACATCTGTTGATATTAGAGCTTGGGCTCCAAAATCATGGTTATATCCTTTTCCTTTTTTGTTTGAGTCTTTATTTCTTTTTTCTTACGTTTTTCATGTTCTTCTATTTAAGTCTCTTGATCCGTAATTTTTTCGTCAAAAATTCAAAAGTTATTTTTGTACTCATTTTGTGTCCAAATCAACTTCCGTTTTCTTTACCGGTGTCATAATTGAATTTCGAGTAAAACAAAATCCCGGATGAGCTTAGGCATGAGCTTTTTCTTCAGGGTGTCACTGCTCTTGATCACGCTTACTCTTTAGCTCAATATTATGAATTGTTATTAGAACTCCATGTGAAAAGCGTGGTGACAACCATTCATCCATCTCTTTGGCACCACCTTATTTGTATGTCTCTCATAAGGCCCTCCATGTCTAATGTTTCTCCCGTTTGGGCAAATAAGGGTAAAGGTCCGAACATCCCAAGGTCTTCTCCTTCATATGAAAGGCGTATTGACAATTGTCATTCCTTCTCATCAGCGCCACTTTCTCCGGTTAAGTTCCTTCTAGGACCTCTCCCGTCTAATATTCCTCCCATTTGGAAAAATAAAGGTAAAGGTCTTGACATTTCAAGGACTTCTTCTCCGTCTAGAAGACATATTAGCTATCGTCCTTTTGTCTCATTGGCGCCACCCCCCCCTCCTATTAAGTCCCTTGTAGGACCTCCCCCATGTAATGCTCCTCCGATGTTGGAAAATAAAGGTAAAGCTCCTGAAATACTAAAGACTTCTTCTCACTTGCAATGCTTCAACTATAAGGGTTTTTGTCACATTTCTTACAAATGTCCTAGTCGAACCTTAGCTATTGAAGAATCAAAGAATGTAATAGATGAGCCATTAGAAAATGTAGTCTATAAATCTCAACTTGAAGAAGTTGATGACTTGGATGATAGTGATGACACCTTTTTGGGTGGTATCCGGACTCTTCATGTGAATCTAAGTATTGTACCCCTCAAATACAAGGATTACACTGGTGTGATGTCATTCCTATGGTATCGATCCCAACACTCTTGGTCGGCCTTGGTTGTACTATTTGGATGTAACATTCCATTTTCGATTCAATTCATGTTCTTTTTTGTTTAGGGGAAAGAAGATTCACTTTATCCCTTGCAGTAAGAGTTTAGATGTGTCTAAGGTTGCCAACTTGTACTTTAATGAGATTGTTAAGTTGTATGACCTTCCTAAGACCATTATCTCAAACATGGATGTTCGTTTCACTAGTCATTTTTGGAAAACCCAATGGTATATAGTTAGCACTAAACTGAAATTCTCCACTGCAGACCATCCTCAAACTGATGTTGGCCATTTATTAAAGTGTCTAGTCTAGGAAAATCTTGGGAATTGGGATTTGATCCTCCCAACTGTTTAAATTGCATATAACAGTTTTGTGGATCAATCTATGTATGAGTTCCTTTAAAGTTATTCATGGTTATAAAGATAGGAAGCCTTTACCCCCACATGCTAGTGTGTTTGTCTTAGCTGAGGTATTTGTAAAACATTTTCATGACTTGCATATTGAGATTAATAAACAACTTGAAGCAAATAATGCATCATATAAATTTCGAGATGATTTGCATAATATTGGGAATTGTTATATTGCAAGCCCGTAGTGCTCGTATTTTTAAAATTTTAAAGCGTGTTGGTCTAAATGCACGTGTCATTAATCTTCCTTCACATTTTGGCTACTAACCTTTAGCTAAAGTATCAATCTTGTCACCTACAATTTTTTGTCAAATTTTGTCTCCAACCTTTGAGAAATTGGCAAAGTTTAGTCCTTCATTGCTCGTTCCCCTTCTATTTCCTCTATTTGACGCGAATTAGAGGAAAATTCAAAATTTTCTATCTGATTCACAAACCATGGAGGATTTCTCTAATTGGTGCTCACATGAATAGTTTTTTTGTTTCCACAATTGGAGTAGTCGTGTTTGCATGTTGTGTCATTGTGTCGGATACTAATGGGTGGTGGTAGAGCACTCGCAATGATGAGTTGATAGTGGCGGTGACAAGGTGATGATGAGCTTTGAAGGGGGAATTAGATCATATATAATCGGATTCTTGGTGTCAAAGCAATATCGTGTGTGTCTACCTAGTCGGAAAATATGATCGTAGGCTGTGATTTGACGTCTCAATAGTGGAGACGACGA